TTGAATAAAGTGATTTCCTTTCTAGAATGAGAGGTTCAATGTCACTTATCTCTAAGGAGCCTTCTTGCACTGCCATTTTATGACATGAAACATCCATCTTTAACCAAAAGGAGAGTTACAACTTAGTCCAACAGACATTTCATCCCCTCTGGATCCCCGGAGCTCAAATGCTCATTCCAGACAATCTGGGAGAGATGGAAGGAAGAGTTGGCTCCTCCCTCTTGAGAACCCCCATTCCTACACCTTCCTTCTTTCCATTACCTCAAAACCACTTGAAAGTTTCCCTGAGGACACTGGGATAGACAAAACCCTTTCACTTCCTACCTTACTAGCATCCCCAAAGCCAAGTTAGGAAAGTGGCAAGGAGCAGAAGCCAGATCTCTGCAAAACACTACTTTGTCAGCAAAACTTGGCAAACTCCTACTGACTGCTGCTTAAGGTTATTTTAGGAAACTTCACCCCAACTAGATTCAGGTTTGGCCTCAACATTCTCTGCCCCTACCACAGGCTTCTGAACATTGTTCAGATATTCTCATGTTCCAGCTAGCCATGAGCTCTCATGGTGCTGGTCAAGGGTCTCTCCCACAGAATCACCCGTCTCTCCCAACAATACCCACCCCAACCCAGCTCCTGAAGCAGAAATTCTCGAAGTATGATTCCAAAGAACCTCACTCTAGAATCACCCGAGAGGTTTATTAAAACTCCTACTGGAGGCAGATAAATTGGATTAAAATCTCTTGGGTGGGCTCAGGAACCTGCACTTTTAAAGAAGCTTCTGTGATGATTTTGGGAGCCAATAATCTAAGGATATCCTTTAACCAAAATTAGTCATGGTAAAAACACATCATCCTATCCATTTTTATTTCTGTCCAACAAACATTTCTTGGATGTTTACTGTGTGCCAGGCAACGGCTTGACCCATGATCCTTTCATTCACAAAGCTCCCAGGGAAAGGCACGGCACTCTAAACTGTTTTCCTCAAGGAGGGTCATGTTAAATCTTCTGATAGGTTTAGAATTCCTGTCCTTAGGATCCCTTCCACCCCCACTTCCATCATGGGAGGACTGAAGTCTGCTGCAGAGAACTACGAATCTTGCTTAAGAGAAAAGCCCACTCCTCCTCTGTTTTTCACCCCAACAATCCAGGGCCTTTCTATCCTTTGGGGCTGTGAAGCCAAGAGTTTGCATGTGCTCAAGGCATCTCCAAGGGGTAAGAGGATGAGGCTTGTGGAGAGGGGTTGTAAGAGACTTCTTAGGAACAACTGTAAACACACAGAAGACCAGAGTGCCACCCTCCAACACTTCTGTCTTCTGTCTGCAAGAAAAAAAACTTGTTGTTCAGATGGGAGACAAAGGCTGTCATGGGGGTGGGGGTGGGGGGGTGGCTGCCTGTGTTAGCAGTATGGGAGAGATTTCAAAGCATTCCTACATCAAACACAACCTGGCAATCAGGCTCCTCTGCTGTCACCTCCCACTGAGAACTCACAGCACCAGGACCTAGCAGGGCAAGTGACCCTTGGGAATTCATGACTTGAACAAGCAATAAAATTAGTAAGACATTTCTCTCATACCCTGTGAACACCTAGGAGACAAAACTTAAAGGTACGCAAAGTATCCTAGGTTCACATCTTTCTACATACTTTTTCTCCAATGATACCTTCCTATCTCTCCTTAGAAAATTATAGATTCGGATTCTTCTGGAGTAGGTTTATAATATATCTAAGACTTGTGCCAGTAATGAATCTCTTGTTCCTTTGGCTTGAGAACATCTTTTTTTTTTTTTCCCTCAGCCCAGATCTTCCCTAACAAAACGTTCTTACACAGTAGGTTCCTGGCATATATTGAACCTGAGTCTGAGATAATCAGAGTCTTGACTCCAATCTGAACGAGTCAAGAACCAGTCCAGGAGTAGAGATGGCAACTCTGGGCTCCAAGGTGTAGGATATACCAAAGCTTGAGAGATTAAAGGGAGTAGAGAGGATGGACAGAATGTAGCTCTCTGTAAGCAATTACCAGAGAACAGCAATTGGGTCTGGACAAATATTGAACATCCCACCCACCCACACTCACTCATAGTTTTGGAAACAAAACAATGCGATTTAAAAAAATCTCATTCTCTTTTAGGACATGTTCTTCCACCAGCAAAAGTTCAATCTCTAAAATTTTGCTTCAGGGAAATAGTGTGGACAGCTTATGGGGGCATGAAAGTCAATGCTTAATTGTGACAGCGAGGACCCAACTTTTGCCCCCAGTGCATAACAGCAGAAACCTGGTCCCTGTTGCAATGAGGTATGCCAAGGTGCCTAGGCTGCCTGTTTTTCCTGAAACCTTAGAGCAAAGGTGCTTAATATGACAGGTTTTGGTCAGACTGGCCAGACAATCAGGCCAGATTTTCTGTCCTACATCCTGAGTTGCAGCCCCCTGGAAGTCTTCTCCAGAAAGTTTTGCAAGGCCATCCTCTTTTTTTTTTTTTTATTTTAAGATTTTATTTATTTATTTGACAGAGAGAGGTCACAAGTGGGGAGACAGAGACAGAGAGGGGAAGCAGGCTCCCTGCTGAGCAGAGAGCCCAAAGAGGGCCTCGATCCCAGGACCCTGATATCATGACCTGAGCTGAAGGCAGAGGCCTAAACCACTGAGCCACCCAGGCGCCCCATCCTCCTTCTTGACTTGGTCTTAGCAAGTATAGACTCTGGGCCTAGGAGCTGTGATTAAACAAGTACTTTTTGAGGGGCGCCTGGGTGGCTCAGTGGGTTAAAGCCTCTGCCTTCAGCTCAGGTCATGATCTCAGGGTCCTGGGATCAAGCCCCGCATCGGGCTCTCTGCTTAGCAGAGAGCCTGCTTCCTCCTCTCTCTCTCCCTGCCTCTCTGCCTACTTGTGATCTCTCTCTATCAAATAAATAAATAAAATCTTTAAAAAAAAACAAGTACTTTTTGAGAGAAAGACTTATAGTTTTGAGATAGGAGTGTGCACACTGGGTCATCATGCTGATAAAAACTGGCTATTAAAGTCTAGGCAAGCATGAATGAAGTGTTATGTGACCTCAGCAGCATTTGAGTTGCTGGTATTTTTGTATTAAGGCCCAGAGTGAGGGACAGCAAAGAAATACTTCTTCATATGAAGCCTGAGCTAGCTCTGAAGGGCTCTATCATTTCCTGATCAGGGAGCTAAAAAAAAAAAAAAAAAAAGAGCCTCTATTTTTCCCTTTTCAGACTATTTAGGACCTTTGTCATCTGATTGGCTTTGGGAGAGAACTGAAGTAGCAACATCAAGGTTGAGGGCGATTTTCAGCACAGGATTCTGTTTCCCAATCAAATCCAAGAACTCCAGCGATGTAGGAACCCCAGACCTCTTAGCTTTTGTGCTCATTCCTAGGTGTGTACTCTCTACCTACCCGTCCTGACCTTGGCTCAACTTCAGCTTCACCAGCAACACTGTTTGGTGTGACTTTGTTTATTCACAAGTTCACATCCCAGTAGGGACTGGCTGCCTGGACTGTGGTGGCTCCTACTTTCCAGGCTTCCTGAGAGCAGAATTTTAGGCAAGGACTCAATCGCTCTTTCATGACAAGTGGATCAGTAAAACAATAATAAAACTTCTGTCACCATAACTAAGAGGCTATAATAGACCAAATTCTCAAGGGCACTTGAATAAGCCAAGAGTAGACCCTATTCACACAGTTTTAGGAAGCCACTCTCTTTCAAGACTGCCGTGTGTAAATAACATTTATATATTTAATTTGTTATTTTCCTACAGCCCCAAAGAGGAAAACATTATAAGAAATGTTCAAGGAAATTGGAAAGTTTGTCAATGGGAGGCTTGTCTTTGTAACCCTTCTCCTCCTCATTTCCTGTGCCAGTTGCACTTTTATTTCCCGTCTCTTTACGCTCAGTAAACAAAACCATATTATCAAGGGAAAGACGTGAGCCCATTAACATTGTGAGCCCTCAGATTTCACTCGCAAGAGACGACGCAGCACTTATCTGATGGAACAGAAGCTTTAATTGCTTCGAGGTACAAGCCCGTCCAAACCTCTGAGATCTGACCGGTCCCTGGGAAGCCTTTGCGTCCTGGAGCCAAGCCCCTCAGAGAAAACGTGCGCAGCCCGGATGCGGGTGCCAGCCTCCCACCGGCGTTCAACCGCAAAGGCAGAGTCTTTTTGGACATCCTAGTTAGAAGGGGAAATCTGGTAGACTTCCCCACAAGGCAGAAACCTCTGGCGCCCCAACGCGTACCCCCATCACACCGCCGCCACAAATGGAAGGAAAGCCAACTGAAGGGATGCTGCGAAATAACGTGAAAATCTAACCGTGAAGATGTCGTGCTGCCCCAGGTACACAGCACCCAGGGCATACAATTTAGTCCCGGGAATCGGAAGGAGGGAGAAAACGAGGGAAAATTAAATCCGTACTCTAGGTTTAGGAAAGGAATAACACCAGTGCCAGGAAAACCGAAAGCGCATAGGACTCAGGGGGGGGGGGGGGGGGGTGGGGGGGGAAATTTTGCCCTCCCGGGGGGGGGGGGGGGGGGAGGCTATGAGCAGTCCCCAGGGGCTGAAATCCACACTCCTTTTTAACCCTTTCCCCACCTTAGTGTCCACAATCCGTATCCGAGGGGTCAGCCACCCACCGATGCAGAAGAACAAGCTTCTCCCCCTCTGTCCTCACCGGAGACGCCCGTCCTGCCTTTCTGTTCCCGCTCCGTCCAGTACCCGTCCGGGTAGCAGGCCTCCTGCGCTCTCGCCCCGCCCTTCCCCAGGCCGCCCCTGGGTCACGCCGGCTCTCTCCCCGACCCGGGGGGTGCTGGACGGCGGCCACCCGCGGGTTTGGCAAAGTTGGCGGCGGGGCAGGCGCGTGGAGCCGCGCGCCAGTCCGGACCCCGGCCGTGCGGGGCAGGCGCCCATTGGCCGGCCAGCGCCACGTGGCCACCCCCGCGGCTATATTAGGCCACTATTTACCACCCGCTCGCTCGCCATGGCTCGGCGAAGGCAGCGCGGGTAGGGAGCAGAGGTGGAGCGGCGCAGCCCGCGCGGTCCTGTCCGGCCCCGCACTCTGGCCCCGGCCTGCGCGCGGAGGCGGGTGGGCCGGAACCATGAGCTCCTACCTGGAGTACGTGTCGTGCGGCAGCGGGGCGGGTGGCGGCGGCGACGTGCTCAGCTTCGCGCCCAAGTTCTGCCGCGCCGACGCCCGGCCCGTGGCCCTGCAGCCCGCCTTCCCCTTGGGCAGCGGCGACGGCGCCTTCGTCAGCTGCCTGTCCCTGGCCGCCGCCCGGTCTGCGCCTTTGCCCCCAGCCGCGCCCGCGCAGCCTCCCGCGCCGCCCCCGGCCGCGCCCTCCTTTGCGCCGTGCACCCTGGAGGGTGCCTACGAGTCGGGCGCCGCACCTGCCGCGGCAGGGAGTGCAGACTACGGCTTCCTGGGGCCGGGGTCGGCCTACGACTTCCCGTGCGCGCTCGGGCGGCCGGCGGACGACGGCGGGGCGCACGTCCACTACGCGACCTCAGCGGTCTTCTCCGGCGGGGGCTCCTTTCTGCTCAGCGGCCAGGTGGACTACGCGGCCTTCGGCGAGCCCGGCCCCTTGCCGGCGTGTCTGAAGGAGCCAGCCGACGGCCACCCTGGGACCTTCCAGACCGCGTCCCCCGCCCCTGGTGCCTACCCCAAGTCGGCCTCGCCGGCCTCCGGCCTCCCCGCCGCCTTCAGCACCTTCGAGTGGATGAAAGTAAAGAGGAACGCCCCTAGGAAAAGTAAGTGCTTGGGCCTCGGACCGAGCTACTGGGGTCGGAGCCCCCCTCCGAAGAATTAGGCTGGGAGCGCGTGGCAGCTGCCCCTCTTGACGGCCATTTAGAGTTATGGGGGAAATGCGTTCCGAGGCATTATTAAAGTGGGCGCACTCCATTGAGCGTGTCCCAAGTAGAAGCTTGGAAAATGGGCCAGGCATTGAGGAAATTTTAGGAGGGAGCTCTCCGTGGAGCTCTGGGTTTACAGAGAACCACTGTAGACTGCCCAAAGCTTTGTAACTTTGATTCTAACCGGTGTGCCCGCGTCCTCTCGCCCCACTGATGCCTTGTCTTTACATTGCAGGCAAACTCGCCGAATATGGAGCCGCTAGCCCCTCCAGCGCGATCCGCACGAATTTCAGCACCAAGCAACTGACAGAACTGGAGAAGGAGTTTCATTTCAATAAGTACTTAACTCGAGCCCGACGCATCGAGATAGCCAACTCCTTGCAGCTGAATGATACCCAGGTCAAAATCTGGTTCCAGAACCGCAGGATGAAACAGAAGAAAAGAGAACGGGAAGGGCTTCTGCCCTCCGTCACCCCTGTGGCTTCCCTCCAACTCCCCCTCTCAGGAACGAGCACCGCCAAGTCTGGCAAGAAGCCAGGGAGCCCTTCTCAGGCCCAAAAGCCCTCATGAGGTTTAGTCTTGAGGCTGAGAAACCTTGGCCTGCAGAAGTCATAGGCTGCCTCACCCCTGTCCAGACTTAGTATGCTCAGTTTGGGATGGAGGTGGGCGTGGGCCGAAATTAACAGAGGTTTCTCTCAGGAAAGGAAGTATCTTAGTGGGCTTCTGAGTTCCAGGCTTAGGTGTACAGATGTCAGTTTGAAGTCGCTTAAGCCACTCGTTTGTGTATTATTTGTGTCTTCAGGGAAAAGGTATCCAAGTGCCAGCCCAGCCCTGCTGCTGTGTTGCCTATCTTAGTCCTATGCAATCCTTCGGTGCAGAGTGACAAGAGCTTTCGTTGCTGATCTCTGCCCACCCCGGATATGCTCAGAAGAACGTCTACCCAAAGTTTTTCTCATTTTTATTTAAAGGACAGACTACATGTATTCAGCTTGAGATGACCAAAGCTAGTTAGGGCCTTCCTGATCTAGCTAAGCTGCTTCAAAGGTGATCTTCACGTTTGCACTCCACTTGCTTTTTTTTTTTTTTTCTTCTTTTCTTTTAAAAGCAGTTTCTACCTCTTCATGTGCCTGAGTGAAGATACAATCGCTGGCTGTCTAGTTAGTAGTGGAACAAATCCACAGGGTGGGTGAACACTAGAACCTGAACTACACCTTGACACCAGTTACTCAGACTGGAATGTAAATATATACAGTATGTATATTTTTAAACAGGTTTGCTTGCAATGAACTTCTATATGACATTTAATGTCAGCATGTAAAGGGTTTGAACTTTTTTTTGTAATAAAAATTACAGAATCTGCTACTCTCTGTTTTTCCTTACTCTCCTTTCATTTTCATGATCTTTCTTAAAAGCTAAATTTGGTTTCTTCTAATTTCTTGATTCGGCTCTGGGAATTTGTTTAGATTAATAACTCTAAAAAAATAACACATTTTATAGGGTGTATACACCAATTATATGTCACAGACAATAATCTGAGCAGTTTAAAAAGGAGAAGAAGAACTACTCTGCCAAATACTCAAGTTAACTAAGGAGTTGCTGTACTTACTTTAAGCCCGCAAGTTTTTGGGTGACTGTAGACTGCCCATTAACTCAAAGGTTAGGTGTCCACTGTGTAATGTTGTAAAGCCAAGAAGACACTGTAGAGAGATCTCCTTATTCTTTTGTCTCTTGCTCTCACGACAAGAAAAGGCAACCTGAAGGTTTTGTTAGTTGGTTAGTGTTCTCTGAGAAAGGCAGCCGCACATCCAAAAGTTCTCAATGGTGGACCTCCCTTTCCCAAAGTCAAGAATTACAGAGGAGGCTGGCGAGGCCAGTCGTCAGAGCTTTCCACTTCCTGTAACCCAGACTGACATCTGGCCTAATAAGAGCACAGAGGTAACTTTCTATTTTTAAAAACAAAATACTTTCAAGTGACTTCTTTCAAAGAAGTTTCAAAGCACAAAATTTGAAGGATGGCAAGAGGATATGTGGTAAAAAGTCTCTAAGCTTGTTTCTACCTAGCCCCCCAGTTCCTAACCCTGGAAACACGCGTGGTTGGCCAGGCTTTTAGACAACCTTACAGAAATACTATGTGAAAAAATGCGACATTAATACACAAAGCCAAGTAGACACTTGGGACAATTATCGGGGCAGTTCATTTCCCTCACTTTCTGAATAGCTAGAGCTTCATCTTTAAAATCTCTCTGTAGTTCAACCAAAGGGCTTCAAGGCTCAAATAATCCAGATATAAACCTCAGCTCTCCTTTTAACTAGACTTTTAGATTCTAGTGTAGTGCTTTAAATCCAATTATTTGGAAGTCTAACAGTTGTGGAGGCTTACTATCCACGATGTGACTAATTGTCTTAGAAGACTGAAATTACACTTAAATTCCTGTCCTTCACACTCACAGTTTAATGGAGTTGGAGAAATAAAATTATAAGCTCTAACAAACTCAGCCAATTAGGGGGGAAAGATATCACTTAAAAAGCAGGTCTGTCAATATTATTCTTGTTTGTTTGTTTGTTTGTTTGTTTTTCACAGTTTCACTCTCTTTTTCCTTTAAGGTTTTTATTTAAATTCCAGTGTGTTAACATACAGTGTAGTAGTCTTTCAGGTTGTCAATATTATGCTTACGTTTCACCATCTGCCCTTCATGGACTTGAAGCTAATCAGATCTGGTTTGAAACAATAGTACCCTCCCCCACACACCCCCACCCCATCCTGGTAGCTATTTGAAAGGACTTGTTGCAGGAGTTGTCATTTGCTTTCTTCCTTCCCCTGCAGTGGTCTTTGACAAGACAATGTTTCCTTTTTGATAAGCATTAAGTGTACACCTAAACAAACAAACAAACAAACAAAATGCCAACACGCTGGGTCATTTCCTTAATCTACCATCCTTTTCTCTGAGAAAATAAAGCTTTTCCTTTTGAAGCTACTGCGAGCACTTAACCCTGATGGATGTCTTTCTTGATGAAGGTGGCTATTTTGACATATGTATAATGTTGTTCTATGAATCAGGCCAATATTAGCTATTTTTTGACCAACCCCAGGGATCTTTAAAAGCTTTCTTAATGTAGATCACTATACAGCTATATTCAGTATTAGGGAGAGTCCTGACTGGAGACGGGGATGAACGAGGTGACCTCTGGAGGTCCCTTTCAGCAATGAAGAGGCTACAGAAACGATTCAATGACTTCTGCATGTTTTATTTTAGGCCTATCATTGGAAAAAAAGAGAGTTCAGCCCCAAGAAAGTAAATGCAGTCCATGGGATGACAGTGACACTGTGTTTGTACAGGAAAAGTGGATTTTAGACTTCATTAAATACATCTTGTCCATGGAGGTACCTAACCCATCTGGACTGTTTATAGAACATTCCCCTTCCCATTGTTCAGAGCCTTGTGTTATTTTGAGTGAGATCATCCATGAAGTATGATGGTTACTATGCAAACTGTGAAACTGCTAAAACAACCCTTGTCTATTCTATAAGAATTCAAACTAAATATGCTAATTTCCCCGCCAGCAGTCTGTTTCAAGAATGAATACACAGTGGACAGTTCTGGCTGTTGTATAATTTACTGCTCAATGTTTCTTTGTCTTCACAGAATGACCATGTGTCTATTTTTCTGGATTCAGGATAGTTGGGAGTGAGGAAAAAGAAATAAAGCATTTAATAATATTTAAATTTCCATTACTTGAGTCCTAGCAAACAAAAGAGTTGCTAATGTAAAAACCTAAAGCAATGTCACCTAAATCCTCAAAAGACCAATTGTATGCATTCTGCCCCAGTCTCCTATATGGTGAGGACCGAGACTGGAGAGGTTGCGTCTGATTACCATGTCATCAGAAAAGACGGACAGACTCAGGAGAGTTGTATTGGCTCTGGACTTCTTAATTATTTCTTATGGACAAACACATGCTCTATATTTGGTGAATATTGAACTGAAAAACCTCAGGACCTAATCAAGTTCAGAGAAATGTTGAGTCTGACCACAGACCTCTTGACAAGAAAAATGCCGATTGTTAAAACTTTATTTGTGGTTTTAAAGTGAAACCATACTGAACATATCTCACAAATAATGATAAATCTCCACCTGAATAGAAATAAAGATTTTCACGTTTTTGTCCTTTAAAGCATATTTCCAGAGCATGAACATGCAACAGATATGAAAAGGGTTCTATTTAACATCTTACTTATAACTGCTTCTGAAGTTCTAATTGTCATACAACTATAAATTAAATAGAAACTGTTTAAATTCAATAGTGAACAAAGAGGAAAGAATTCCTAAATATTGGCATGAAAGGAAGGTCTATTACTTAGATTGTAAAGACTTAAGCATGGGATGCCTGCGTGGCTCAGTCAGTTAAGCATCTGCCTTTGGCTCAGGTCATGATTCCAGGGTCCTGGGATGGAGCCCCACATTGGGCTCCTTATTCAGCAGGGAGCCTGCTTCTCCTTCTGCCTTCTCTGCCTGTTCTTCCTGTAGCTCTCCATGCTTCTGCTCTCTTTCTGACAAGTAAATAAACAAAAGTCTTAAAAAAATAAAATCTTTAAAAAAAGCCCTAAACATTATCTGTTCCACTTCTGCTAGTCTTACTGATATAGTTTTTTAAAAAATTTTATTTATTTATTTGATAGAGAGAGACACAGAGAGAGAAGGGAACACAAGGAGGGGGAGTGGGAGAGGGAGAAGCAGGCTTCCTACTGAGCAGGCAGCCCAAAGTGGGGCTCGATCCCAGGACCCTGGGATCATGACCTGAGCCAAGGCAGACACAACAACTGAGCCACCCAGGTGCCCCCTACTGATATCATTTAATAAATATAATGAATGGCCACAGAGTAGTCATTTGGACTCGTAAGTAGCTAATAGAGCAAGTCACTGACACCTTCGAGGGATTTCAAAGGGCGCTAGACTATTTAGTGCATCCCATTCTTAGGGGTTTTTTGAACCTAAGCTACAGTTTGAGGGACGTCTTTAAGAGAAAAAATCGTGAATACAAAATTGCTAGAGTATCTTCCAGGATCTGGAAGAGCCCAAGTGAGTGGAGATTAAGTGTTTTTCTTTCTTTTTTTCTTTTTTTTAAGGTTTTAAAAAGTCTCTACACCCGATGTGGGGCTTAAACTCACAACCGGAGATCAAGAGTTTCATGCTTTACTGACCCCAAGTGTCTTTGGGTTCATCATAAAACCCTATCTGCTCCTTCTGAAACCAGTGCTCCATTCCCAATACCTAGTCATTGTTTGTAAGATGATAGCAGTGACTGCTTTTTCCCAGAATCTTGGAACCAGAATGACTGTTTGCACCTCTTAAAGGCATCAGATATTAGATAATGTGGACAAAGGCAGGTTGGGGCTCTGGTCTACACTCTGAGCCTCTCAATCCCACTCTGCTTTTCTGGGGTACTGGCTGGCTGAACTATTTCACTTTCTGGTAATGGGGCTCTATTTCATCCCAGCGGTTCTTTTCTTTTGTATTTCCTTCTCAGGGATACAAATCTAGAACCAGAGATCACAGCTACCCTGCTGACTTCTAAGCTTTTCCCAGAAGGATGGAATCACTGAGGCTGAGGAAAGGGCTTGGGGGGTGGCGGCGGTTGGAGAACATTATCCTTAAGGAAGGAGATGTGGATTTTAGCATCAGTTGTGATTTTTTAAAAAAGATTTTTATTTATTTATTTATTTGTCAGAGAGAGAGAGAGAGAGCAAGCGCACAAGCAGGCAGAGTGGCAGGAAGAGGCGGAGAGAGAAGCAGACTCCCTGCCAAACAAGGAGCCCGATGTGGGACTCGATGTGGGGCTCGATCTCAGGAGCCTGGGATGATTACCTGAGCAGAAGGCAGATGCTGAACCCACTGAGCCACCCAGACGTCCCCCAGTTGTGATTTCTAATGAAAAGGGAACATATCTTCCCTGGCCTCAGTCTCTTCTATAAAACAGAGGGGTTTGGTCTGGATGGTCATTAAGTTTCCTTTTCACCCTAGTATTCTGCCACAATCCCTTACTTTGCTGGTTATTACTGAAAAATTTACTTAATAATAATGTAGCTGTGTAAGATCAGCATCAACAAGAGGTCTTTACATTTTAAGCTATCTGTCCTTAGATTGTGTGTGTATAGGGGCACCTGAGTGGCTCAGTCTATTAAACTTCTGCCTTGGACTCAGGTCATGATCCTGGAGTCCAGAGGTCCAGTCCTGCATCAGGCTCCCTGATCATCAGGGAGTCTGCTTCTCCTTCTGCCTCTGCTCCTCATGCTCCCCCTTTCTCTCTCACTTTTTTTTTAAAGCTATTATTTATTTAGGGGTACCTGGGTGTCTCAGTCC